CAGGTTTTTAGAAGAAAAAAGCTTATCATTTAATGAATCAACAGCATGTCGGCTAATCTTCAACATGTGTTAACTAAACAATACTTTTTGATTGAACTATTTTTATAGGCAGAAAACGAAATATTCCTTCCTAGCAGCAAGTAATAATTCAAACAGCAGATCTATAAACAAGTATTACGCAGAACACACACGTGCAGCCGTCTGTCTCTTCTGTTGACTAATCGCTTAGCCCGAATAATACAGACCCTCTCATCTCCCTATAGTAAGACGATCTCTGACCACGCCTTCTTTCTTGGAGTATACATTTGGGCAGCGTTATGCAAATATTCCCACAAAGTGACGTTATATGTGAGAGAGAGTTTGATCAGGGCGTTTTCGGCAGCTTTCAGTCAGCCTTCCCTTTTAGACAGAAAAAAGTCCTTTTGTGGATTTGTTGTTTGAGCTTTGTCACTTTGCAGATTTTATACTTGCACAAACAGCTAAACTGTAAAACTTTGCTGTAAAAAAAAATGGACAAATTCTGACAGTAACAAACTGTTTTCCATTAAATTATAGGAAATGGTGCATTCTGGGTAATATTTGTTGTTTTGGAGTAGGTGGCCTACTGCAGTATAACTGTGAATTATCAGTGTTCAGAGTCGACACTCAGAGACTGTGTCCCAAATCACACCCTTCACCCTCATTCACTATTCCCTCACTGATTCTTGAGAAGTGGCACAACACAGGGTGCGGTATTGAAAAAAATAAAACCTTGTACTCAGAGAAATGAAACTGCGTTCTTGTATCTTAAATGTACTAAGCTAAAAAGCTTTGGTTTGATTCACTTTGAACTTTTCTCTTTTTTATCAAGATGTGCTTCTTTTAAAAAGTTAAATGAACAAATAAAACAATTAGTTGTTACCTCTATCCATTTACATTCACCAGGATCTTAATATTCAGATTTAGACATCTTAACAAATGATCCAAAAATGATCAGAACACATATGATCAGAATACAAACGAACTTTATTATGTATAGATATGTTTTATCCAGTGTTTTGTGTTCCCTCAGCCTTATGTTCCCTCAACCCTAACTCTGCTAGAAGTGTTGATTATCAATCCATAAAAGCATTATGTGTGGTCAGGTCACATATTTAGTATTTATACATTATTAGAAAAATTAAACACTATTTTATATTTAATATAATTAAAAATGACTTGAAAACCACAAAAATATGATGACTTTACGTTGAATGTCAACTCCATCATTGGCCCGTCACCAGCGTCAGACAGAAAATCTTACGGTGGTGACACCTGACGGTGTTGACAAATTTAGCATTTCTTTCACAAAACAAATGGAGTTCATGTAGTAGCCATTCTGTTTTGTTTTTTCTGTTGATGCTAGATGCTAATAGAACCTGCTTAAGAAGAATAAAATGATCTAAACATTTCAAATAATTTCCTCAGAAATTGGAGGATGGTGTTGGCATATCATGGTTGTGACAGGAAATATTAACATTAAGATTTTAAATATTCTAAAACTATAAACTTAGCAGAGCCTGTCTGACACTGATGTACTCTGCAGAGGTTAATGTGGCAGCCCCTGATATTCCCTGAGTTTATTACATTTTAATGAATGTCTAACTGTGTTGACAAAACGTGGGGACACAACTTTGAAACCTTATGAAACATGCATGTCACTGAAAAACAACCTTGCTTTGATATGGGATATTAATAAGTGTTGCTTTTGATAAAACAAGCTGTTTTCCCTACATGAGTTTACTAATACAGTCCACCTGACAGAGAGAATGAAGACACATGAGTGAATTCAGACGCAGATAAACACCTGCGGTTAACAAGCAGATTCACTGAAGAAAAGAGAAACGGCAGAAACAACAACTACAGCTGTAAGCATGTTGAATTAGCAGGCATTTAGTGTGAGAAGTTCTCCTATTCATTTTATTATTATTTTACATGATTCTTAGTGAACAAAACCCAATATGTATTTCTTTAAATATAGTGAATAATTCATCCACACAGAGACATTTAATAACTCATATTTTATAACTGTTGCTATATTTTATTTACTTGTTTATTTTACAAAGAGTTGCTTATTTATTTCTGGAAAGTGTCTGGTGACATTGGAGTGATTTAAAGCGCATTTTCTTCCAGTCCAACAGCAGCGAGTGGGTAAAGGACGATGGCATCTGGTGAGCAGCATTGTGACACACAGGAAGATGAAAAGCTGGAACGCGAGGAAGGTAATGAAGAACAGAATATCAGTCATGTTAAAGTTGTCATTTAGGAAATGTAATGAATCTCTCTATTTGTATTCCAGTCCAGAAGAGCAGCAGTGCTCACACTAGAGTCAGTGTTGGTCTGAATGCTCAGACGAGAGCGACTGTAATTGCTCCTGTACTCACTAATGTCACAGGCCCAGTGACCATCATCAGCAACACTGCAGGACACGGTACTGTCACTGTAACTGTGCTTACTGAGACACACTGCTTTCTAGCAGTCAGTGAAATAATGCTGAGTGATCATGAACCCTACTCCTATTAAACTTCATTTAAGAATTAGATTTATCTTCCTCGTCACTCGTCAGTTCAGTAATGATTGTTTCTCAGTCATCAATGGTCTGCACAGATGTGTGAAGAACTGGCACACAAACAGAGTCATGTCCTAAATCTTCAATCTTTATTGAGCCATTTACACATTTTGTGACATTTCTTCACTCACACATGTTCTCTATGGTGACTGAACATAAGGGAAGTGAATGGTGACTCATGATACACTCAGGAGGAGAATAACAGGGAGGCTTGTGAGAGACCTCTGAATCTCAGTTTATTTATGGTCATATTGTTCTTACGCAGACATACTTTACAGTATTTTCTTTCATGTATCTGTATATTTTGTCACACATTTGTTACTTCTGTCCTTTTCCTCTCTCTTCACAGAGCCACAAAAAATCTCAGAGACAGAGACGGCAGAGAAACACACCGAAAAACAAGGTGCAGTCTTATCAGTCATATTCAAAACTATGTTTTTTTTTTCATAATTTTCACTGTATAGATCACAGTTAGTGTAAGATTATCAATGGCAATGAATAAAAACACCTCCATGCAATGGCATTGTTCATAATGTTGGACAGATCAGGGTTGGGAGCATTATTAATATTAGAACGGAGATGAAATGTGAGAGGTGATGTACTCTATCACCATTTACAAATTAGGCATTGAAAAAAGTACATATGCCTGGATGACTTGATTTGAATGCATAAATCCATGAGAGACATGACAAATTTAGTGAATGAAATCGAAAACCTCAAAACTGTATTACCAAAGTCCCTTTAAGGCAAGTCATTTTACTCGGCGGCCATCTTTGAAACGCCTCTCAAGCAGCTATTCAGTCATGCAAGTGCAGCTCCTATCTCTTTGAATGGGGAAACATTGAATTCTCCAAAGCTGTTCACCAAGCTTACGATTACATTTGAAATCTGACAACAGTTGTCTCATAAGATTTGTTTCTTATGCTCAAGTGGTGTTAAAAAAGCTTATTTTCCAGGCTAGACCAGTCATTGCACATCTCAGGAAGCTGACTGTTTCTATAGCAACCAGAGCTTCTTAGTGCAGCTGCAGTGATGCGATGACTTTACCAATTAACAACTGGCTCTTTTATTCAGAAGCAGGACTGTTCCACCATATTGTGCCTTGCACTTTCTCCCGTTCAAGTACTATATGTGCACCATCTTTGTATTATTAAAGTCTGTGGTGTTACTTTCAAAAGTCATTTAATTACAATATGTTTAATTAATTCTGAAGAGATCATGCTGATGTAAAAGCTTTGTCATGTTTCTTTAAAAAAATGAAATCTGTTTTTGCCTTTTCCCTGTTTTATTAACTTAATCATCTTTTAAAACAGCAGATTTGATTCTAAAAAAATTCTTGGAAACTCACAAATCCAACATGAAGAATAAAGCAGGACATATTGTTGAGGGCAAAGAAAAAGCACATCTCCAGGATGTTTACACAGAGCTCTTAATCACAGAGGGAGATATGAAAGATGTTCATCAGGAACATGAGATTCTGAAGACTGATGATGCTTTCAAGAACAAAAAAACACAGGACAATCCAATCAAATGCAATGATATATTTACATTATTAAGGCAAAACAAATCAGGGGGGAATCATCTCACACATTAAGACGTCTCGTAGTCTCTACATCATGTGCCACATTCCTGTGTTCTGCTGGATCACAGCTACAGTACTTCAGGATATTCTCAGAGAAGAGATCATCAGCACAACACTCACGGAAATGTACATCCACTTCCTGCTGATACAGATGGACATGAAGAACCAGAAATATGATGAACAAGAAGAAAGAGAATCTACAAAGAACTTAGATTCAAACAGACCAATGATTTTGAAGTTAGCTAAGCTAGCGTTTGAACACAGGACAAACCAATCAAATGCAATGATATATTTACATTATTAAGAAAAAACAGTGAGAAAAAGATTGTTCTGACCAAGGGAGTCGCTGGCATTGGAAAAACTGTCTCTGTGCACAAGTTCATCCTGGACTGGGCAGCAGGAGACGCCAATCAGAATATACACTGTGTGCTCCTGCTTCCATTCAGAGAGATGAACTTAATGACCAATGAAGATTTCAGTCTCCACGAGCTTCTGCTGGAATTTTATCCTGAACTGGAGGGCCTGGAGAAAACAAAGTTATATAAGGAATGCAATCTAGTGTTTATATTTGATGGACTTGATGAGAATCGTCTGGCTTTGAATTTTAAAACTAGAGCATCACCAAGAGCCATTGTTGAGAAAAGATCATCTGTAGCTGTGCTGTTCACAGGTCTGGTCAAAGGGACTCTGCTTCCATCAGCTCTGGTCTGGGTGACCTCACGACCAGCAGCAGCCAATCAGATCCCTCGTCGGTATGTGGGTTTGTTCACTGAGGTGCGAGGATTCACTGACCAACAGAAGGAGCAGTACTTCAGAAAGAGAATCAAAGATGAGACTCTGGCCTCCAGAATCATCCCACACATTAAGACGTCTCGTAGTCTCTACATCATGTGCCACATTCCTGTGTTCTGCTGGATCACAGACACAGTACTTCAGGATATTCTCATCAACAACAGTGAAGAGAGCATCAGCACAACACTCACGGAAATGTACATCCATTTCCTGCTGATACAGATGAACATGAAGAACCAGAAGTACGATGAACAAGAAGAAAGAGAATGTGCAAAGAACTTAGATTCAAACAGACCAATGATTTTGAAGTTAGCTAAGCTAGCGTTTGAACAATTGAAGCAGGAAAACATTGTGTTCTATGAGAAAGATCTGAAAGCATGTGGTATTGATGTGAGTAAAGACACTGAGTTCACAGGAATGATCGCTGAGATCTTTAAGAAGGAAAAGGGACTTCATGAGAAGAAGGTCTTCTCCTTTGTGCATCTGAGTGTTCAAGAGTTTCTCGCTGCAGTGCATGTGTTCCTCTGTTACCTGAACAAGAACATGCAGGAGCTTCAGTTTTTCTTTGATAAGCCAGAAGAAAATTTCACATTGCAGGAGCTACTGCAGGAGGCTGTTGATAAAGCCATGGAGAGTCAGAGAGGACATCTGGATCTGTTCCTGCGGTTTCTGATGGGTGTTACACTGGAATCCAGTCAAAACCTGCTCCAAGGCCTGATCACACACACTGAAGACACCACAGAGAGCATCAGACAAACAACTCAATACATTAAACAAGTACAAGAAGAAGACTCTATCTCAGATGAAGCTTTAGTCAACCTATTCTACTGCTTGCTTGAGCTCAAGGATCATTCATTATATGAGGAAGTCCAGAGATGCCTCAGTTCAGATGCACATCCAGGAAGAAACCTCTCATCTTCAATGTGTTCAGTGCTGACCTACATACTGCTGATGTCAGAGAAGGTGCTGGATGAGTTCAACCCAAAGAGATTCACATCACAAGAAAACTACGAGAGACTCATTCCAGCTATGAGATGCTGCAGAAAAGCCCTGCGAGTAATTTCACTGACTGCTGTTTGATCAAATGTTTTATTCTACATCACTAAACAATTAAATGTCAAAATACTATGTAAAATATCTTGTTGTCCTGATTATGAAGGGTAAAATAAGTTTTTGCAGAAACACTGAACATCAGAAAATAATCAGCATAACCTTCTGTTTTGGCAGATTTGACGGCTGTGGTCTTAATGAGACATGCTGTAAAACTGTATCTTCAGCTCTTCAGTCATCAGACTCTCATCTGACAGAGCTGGACCTGAGTAACAATCACCTGCAGGATTCAGGAGTGAAGCTGCTGTATGATGGACTGAAGACAAACTGTCAGCTGCAGATACTGAGGTTTGATTTCAAACACTTTCATTGATTTTTACCCCCATTAAATTAATCATTAAAAATCACATTGCTAACATTGCAGTGACATTCACTGAATCACTGTGTTACAATATGTGGATTAATTGGCGTTTCATAACTATAGCTAGCAGATTTTCCTGTTTATATTGTAGAATGAATGTATCAGTGATGTTTCTCCAAGGACACAAGGCAGGCAATGTCTACTCAAAAACCTGATGAGAAAACAATCAGGGTTTCCAAGCATCCTGGAAACCTGGAATTTTGTAATGCAGTTTTATGAGAAATGAAATAATACCTTAATTTCCTTAAGTGATTCTTTTGAACAGTTTGTTTTATTTTACAATTTCATATCAATTTAAAACATGTTCCCTTTCTTTATGCATTTATTATAGTAGCTCTATTTTCGCTTCATCAATCAAATCCTCTGCACACTGTTATATTACTTTCTTATATTATATTACTTGCCTCATTTCAGTAGGACAGATTCAGTGTAAGACAGACATAAATATTAGTATTGTAATTTAACTATGTATGTAATACATTTGAACTATTTGCCAATAGTATTTTTATTTTAAAAATATGTATGCATTCACTCTTAATTGGAAATTGCCTAATTTGCACTCTGACTCTATATAAAGTTGAATATTTTGGGTCACTGGATATTACTTTACTGTTTGCTGTTTCTGTGAACAGTAAAACCCTGTCTTCTTGATTTGATGGTTATTTTAATCATTCTGACCTTAAAGAGCACTCTTAGACCACTGAGGCCTAAAAAATAACGTTTTTGGTCATTTGAACAACAAACTGATCGGTGCATAATGGAGTGCCACAGAGCAGCATGAAGAATATCAAATATTGAGGTGACAATTTGTCCACACGTACGTGGATTACTCAATTAGCTGAATTTTATTTTTTGACATGATCCAGGATTAAGTTCTTCAGAGCTCATCATGATATTGCTGTCATAACAACAGTTCCATTAGATCAAACCTGCTCAGGAGTGGCTTATTTCACGTAAACCGTATTAGATTGTATCATTTACAGTAGGTGGACAACCAAAATGCCTATTACCGCCGCGTGTACTGCCGCCGCAAGGCTACGGCGTTAACTGCAAGTCAGTCGTGTGTTAAAGTCGTTCCCGAAACTTCCGCCAGGTGGCGGAAAGAGACTGTTTGCAAACTGACTGGAATTATATTTTGTTTTGTAAACGGAGTTCAAATAACGAAATAAAACAGCAATAACATTATAATATAACATTCTAACATCCTTAAAAATCATTAGAAAATCTATTTAAAATAAATTTTTAGAAAGTTAATTTCAAAATGTGAGATAGTTGTAGACTGCAGCCTAACGCATCCAAAAAAAAAAAAAAAAGAATTACATTTACACAAAGGCTCTTACTGCATGTTATGGTTATTAAACAGTCATTATGAAAACCATTAAAACTACACAATTTCCTTATGTTGTATTAAGGGGCTTTCATTCGATCTACAGGCTAATGAAAGTTTTTGAACAAAAAATCCTGAACTTGGCCGTTGGTCCTCTGTACAAGGCTGCACGTTCATCAGACTCTATTCACGTCACAATTTACTCTGACTCACACCATAAAAAAATTTTTTTTTTAATTGTGAGAAATTAAGATTAATAGGCTAAAACTGCTACATGAAAACCTAGAAATCGTACAAAAAGTAGGATATTAACTTGGAATGTTTAGATTGCATTTAAGGAGGTGTGCATTATGCCATAAAGAAATAGAACGATTGAAAAGGTGGCTTATTGTTGAGTGTTATAGGCTAGGCCTAGTTCTAACACATATTTTGGCACTATAGTCACATTAATATCACAAATTATGAAAGGCTTGAAACTTACATTTAATAATTCGCTGATGTAGGCCTATTTCATCCTCTGCCCGAGTCCGACTGGAGCCCGTGTCTTTTTTCTCTCTCTCGCTTCCTAATTACACAGCTGCTGTTGAAGCCATTAAAATAGTTCAGTTTTGTTTTTAATTGCAAAGTTATATTTCTTATTGTTTCATTATTATTTAATTTAGAAAAATGTATGGAACATTTTTTGTTTGTTAAATTCAAGTTTTGTTTTTTTTGAGTGATGACCAAGCGGATAGCGGCAGACAAGCTGAGTTGATCACGTTTGATCATTTTAGCCTTCTCAAATCATCACGACTTGCTTAAAATAAAATCTGTAGATATAAAACACTTAAAGCATATTACAATGTTAGTTTAAACATTTAACCTAGATAAAAGTGTGCTTTTAGGCGTATATCTAAGCATTTATGCGGAGAGTGGAAGCTGAAGCACGCTTAATTGCATGGAGGCGCTAGCGCAATCACTTAATTTTGTTCTTCATAACAGTGGAAACAACTTGAAGTAGCCTAACGCTGTCATTTTTGCTCATACAGATAAGACTGATACTTCATTTGGAACTGTAAATGGTGTACCCTTATTTTTGTGTGCACTCACAATATCAATAAAATGTTTTGCTTTTGTAAAATAGAGAAAGGGAACAAGGGTTACCATACGTAACCGAGACGTTTGTTTTCTCTATTTTACAAAAGCACAACGTTTTGTTGATATTGTGAGTGCACACAAAAATAAGGGTACACCATTTACAGTTCCGAATGTGTCGAGTGTACGACAGCTGTCCTCCAAAGCAGATAAAGAGCTGTTCAGAACGTCTGAAACTCTTGAGTGCAATCTAGGTATGTGCATAGGGCTCGCACTGGGCACAACAGAGACAGGTCGGGGTCCCCTTCTTGGAAGGGGATAGCTTGCAAGGTTACCACCTGATCCCTGAATGGAGTGTTGGGAACCTTGAGCACATATCCAGGCCGAGGTCTCAGGACAATGTGAGAGTCTGCCGGCCCAACTCCAGGCATGATTCGTTAACAGAGAGGGCTTGGAGATCCCCCACCCTCTTGACAGAAGTGAGCACAGTCAGGAGGGCCGTCATCATGGAGAGGGCACTGAACTAAACTGACTGAAGGGGCTCAAATGGATCTCTCTGTAAGGCCTGCAAGACCACAGAGAGATCCCAAGAGGGAGTGAGATGTGGCCTCGGAGGGTTCAACCTCCGGGCGCCTCTGAGGAACCTAATAACCAGATCGTGCTTCCCCACCGATCTGCTTCCCACAGTGTCGTGATCAGCTGCAATCGCGGCCGCGTATACCTTAAGTGTAGAAGCAGACAGGTGCCTGTTCATGCTTCCTTGGAGGAAGGAGAGCACAGATCCGATGCCACATCTCCGAGGGTCCTTCCCCTGGGAAGAACACCAATTCACGAAAACGCGCCACTTCAGGTCGTACAGCCGCCTCGTCGAGGGGGCTCTGGCCTGAGTAATGGTATTCACCACTGCTGGTGAAAGGTCTCTGAGTTCCTGCTGGTCGTGTCCAGGGACCAAACATGAAGGTTCCAGAGATCCAGGCGCGGATGCTAAATTGTGCCCTTGCCCTGAGAAAGGAGGTCATTCCTCAGGGGAATTCACAAGGGAGGAACTGATGCCATGAGCACGAGCTCCAAGAACCAGGTCCTGTTGGGCCAATAAGGGGCCACAAGCAGGAGCTGTTCTTTGTCCTGCCTGACTTTGCATAGTGTCTGTGCAATGAGGCTCACTGGGGGAAATGCATACCTGAGTAGGCCCCTGGGCCAGCTGTGAGCCAGTGCATCCGTGCCGAGGAGAGCCTCGGTCTGGGAGTACCACAACTGGCAATGGGTCGATTCCGATGAGGCAAACAGGTCTACCTGTGCCTGGCCGAACCGACTCCAAATCAGCTGAACCGTTTGGGGGTGAAGTCTCCAATCGCCCCTGTTGCGAGAGGAGATCCGCTACACGATTGAGGTCACCTGGGATATGATTGGCATGCAGAGAGCTGAGTCTGTGCTGGCTCCAAAGTAAGAGATGGCGGGCGAGTTGTGACATGTGATGGGAGCGAACACCACCCTGGTGGTTGATGTATGCAACCGTTGCTGTGTTGTCCGTCTGGACCAACACGTGCTTGCCTTCGATCAAGGGTCGAAATCATCTCAAGGCCAAAGGACTGTCAACAGTTGATATGCCAATGCAGCCGAGAGCCTGTCCAGACTACTGATGCTGCATGCCCATTGCACACGGCACCCTAGCCTGTCTTGGAAGCATCTGTTGTAACAACAATATGTCTGGACACCTGTTCTAAGGGCACTCCTGCCTGTAGAAAAGAGATGTTCAGCCCGAACAGCCCGTTCAGACATGGACAGCCTGAAGGGAAGAACTTTGTGCTGATATGCCCGTCCTTCGAAGGCAAACCAAAGAAATGGCTTGTGCCTTGGTAGGATTGAGACATGAAAGTATGCGTCCTTCAGGTCTATTGCCACAAACCAATCCTGATTTTTGACACATGTTAATATGTGCTTGAGGGTTAACATTCTGAACGGAAGCTTGTGAAGGGCCCGGTTCAGAGACCTCAAATCCAGAATTGGTCTGAGTCCCCCAGCCTTCTTGGGTACAATGAAGTACGGGCTGTAAAACCCCTTCTTCATTTCAGCCAAGGGGACAGGCTCGATTGCACCCTTCCCAAAGAAGGGTTGCAACCTCCGCCCGAAAGAACAGTCGGATTCTCGCCTCATACTGAGGTAAACAGAATGCCCCTGAACTTGGGCGGATGCCTGGCGAACTGAATCGCATAGCCGAGCCGAATGGTTCTGAGGAAACATCGGAAGGGATTGGAGAGGCTTAACCAAGCATCCAGATCCCCTGCCAACGGCCTCAAAGGAACCACGTTCGACATACCTCAGGCAGGGTTCCTGTGGCTGAGCGGAGTGGAAGGCGCTGTGGTAGGAGGTGAAATGTCCTTTAAAACACACCGTGCCTTGTCCGCAGGGTCTGTCATATGAGCCACCGACGGATGAGGGAACATGGGTTCGCCAGCATGCATCGTGTTGGCTGAGTGACAGACCCTTTGCATCTGAACGTAAGGAGACAGCGCAGATGGAGGCTGCAGGAGCAGGACCTGACCCACGCTGAGGCAGGATGTGTTTGATGGCCTCCGTCTGCTTCTT